CTGTTTTAACCAGGAATAGAAAACAGGGAGGGGCTTTAACTCCAGGTGCAGGGAACAGCCCTGATTGAGAGAGTTGTCAAAATCACCCTTTGGTTTTCTTTTAAACCTTATCAACAATGTCTGACGTGGGAGACGGAGGTGATTTGCCAAGAGGGTATTTTACTTAATGCACCACTGACAATTCAAGAATCTGCTAAAATAAAATGTGAGTTTGGTGGGACTGATTTTGAGAATATTCTAATTTGTATTTCTCCCTTTCTGTCTCTCATCCTCCCCAATACACATACATACACACACATACACACACACACACACACACAGAGAGAGAGAGAGAGAGAGAGACAGAGAGATGGGGGCACATTTGGAATTTGCTTGGTTGGAAGAGCTAACTCTCTAGAGTTTGAAGTCACTTTAGTCATTGAAGGCAGTATTAAACTGAATATGTTAGTGGCTTCCCCAGAGATATCCTGAATTTCCTTCAATCAAATTCTCTCTCTTCAAACTCACACTGTGTGTGTGTGAGTGTGTGTGTGTGTGTGTGTGTGTGGTAGTGCCGGGTCTCACACATACTGGCCAAGGACTCCCAGTCCTACATTTTCTTGAAGAGAGAGAACTGAGAGGCAAGGTCCATAATTAATGGACAAAGGTCTCCAGCATGCGGTGCTGGGGGTATGGCTCAGTGGTAGAACGCTTGCCGAGCACGAGCTGAGGTCCTAGGTTCAATCCCCAGCACTGCAAAATGGACAGTCTCTAGGATGCTCCAGTCAGGTGGAGGGAGGCTCTGTAGATATCTTGAGACTTTTCAAGGTCATGACTACTGTTGATGCCCTCTGAGGGGTAAAGGTGGGTCCAGGTGAAGTGTGAGCAAGCCTGTACAATGGCAAAGATGGGCTGAAGTTCTTCCTGACTGGGAACTACCCTAGAGTTATCAGCTCCACAAATACCAGAAGCTCCTGAGCATTCCCTTCTCAGCACAATCTTGTTATCATTCACAAGGTCTCTAAATGATCTGTTCAATGTGGGTGACAGGCCCTCAGAAACACTGACTTGGTTGTCCATCACCCTGACATTACTCACTGAAAAGAAATGTCCTAACTATTCATTGCACAAGTTAGTAAGATACAGAAGACGCTCCCTGATGCTGGCTTGTAACACACATTCAACATACATGCACTTTGGGAGAGGGGCAAGGGAAGGAAGAAAGCAAGCCAGCAATGGCTCCCTGGACTGTTATTTTTTTGTCTTCAATCATTTGTCGGGAGCCACTCGATAACAGAATGTGGCAACTCAGTGTGCGACTTTACCAAAACCTCCTCACTGTAGGTGCCTCTCATTTGCAGAGAGGTGACAATACCATGCTGGCCTACCTCAGGGTGTTGCCTTAAGGGCCAAGTGAGTTCATGAATCGGAGTCTGTGACAAGAGTAAAGTACTGTGTGAATACTGTTCTGATAGTTGACATGGTGTGGGAGGGGTCTGGCAAGTGTGTGTGTGTGTGTGTGTGTGTGTGCGCGCACACACTTGTGTTTGTTCTGAACAGAATGAGGCTCAATAGCTGCCTATCTTCCCTTGAAAGCATTGTTTTAGAGAATTGTGCTCTTTGCGTTTGAACTACATAAATGATAATCTCCAGAGAATAGAAACAACCCCCAAAACTGAGACACGCACCTGACGTGGGCCTCGTGGCCTTTGGGATCTTGCTGTGATGCATCTTCTGTGCCTGGATCTGAGCTCCCCAGCAGAAATTGGCTTTGGGAGTTGTTTTGAGGGTGAGGATAAAATAAAATGAAGCTCTTAGGCAGAAAGTCATTTTGCTGTCCCTTCTTGAATGTGCGGACTGCAGGTCCTACTCTATTATCTTCATTGTCATCATCATCATCATTATTTTGTAGAAGTGAAGGAACAATTCTCTTTTATGGGTACTAAGGCAATTCTTTTGTAAAATCCTTTTATTTGCTATCAGATGCTTTCAAAATAAAGAAATAAATTAAACAGTTAATACCAGCCCCGCCAGCCCCCATTACTCCTCCCCATGCCGTCTTCTCAGAGAGTTAATCATGGCCCCAAGTGGCCACCAAGTGCCCCAATGTCCCCCATTGAACACTCCCCGCCAGTGCCTTCAGCTGTGTACATCTCATGACGGGACATGTCACATCCTCCAGATTCCTGCAGCAGACTTGCCTCTAAGAAATTTGCCCCCTTGCTGTGGCTTTGTGCACGCGCCAACATCAAGTGTCACAGCAGAATGGGGGACTTCGTGAGCAGAGGCAGTGGTGGCAGCCGGAACCACGTCCTGATGCCTCATACCAGCAGCAGCCCTAGAGTTAATTACTGGCCTTCCCATAGCATGTTGCATCTGAGGTGACACTTCATAAATGTCACCTCATTTATCTTCCTGATGCCCCTCAGAGGCAGGGAATCCCATAAAATCCACCCCGGAAGAACCGGTGGCTTGTGAGCAGCCATCCCCTCAGGTGGTTCCTGGGCAGTGAGGGGGCAGCCAGGGGAGACGTGTCACATCTTTTCTTGCTCTGTAACTTCAGCTGTTAAGGACTATGTCCCTGTGTTTACCACAACCATGATTCATTCCACAAACATTTAATGTTCCCTACTCTGGACACTGCAGAACTGAGCTCAAAGCCAGTGTCTTTGCCACTTTGAAGTCCCACAGAGCTGGAAGACAGGGAGAAGAGACCTCCAACAGAAGCAGCAAAGAAAGCCCAATGGGGGAGGTGTGACTGGACCCTCAGAAAGACTGAGGAGTCACCTGGGGAGGAAGAGGAGGAAGACAAGGAAGGCAGTTTGGGGGAGACTGGGAACTGGGGAGGAGAGAGGTGAGGCTACATTGGAGCAGAGGCCATATCACAGAGGGCCTTCTCCAGGTGTCCTGCTGAGGAGTTTGCACTTGATCTTCTAGAAGGACTTCCACCTGCTCCTTCACTGCTTCCTCTCCATCTCCCCTGCTGCCCATCCGCCCGCCCAATAACCCCCTAATATATACTTTTATCTGTAGTACATGTGTGGCCACATGGCCTATAACTGGGTTTCACACCCTTCAGAAATGGGACAGAAATAGCCCTTACCTGAAGGTAGAACAAAAAAATGAAATCTCCACTTCCTGGGTCAGGGCTTGGGCTGGAAGGCTTCCTTCCCTGACACCCAGGTTTCCAGAGCAGGGCAGGAATGTATAGTCCTGCTTCCTTGCCCCAGCTCTGGGGCACTTTGTGAATGAGAGAGTCAGTCTTCCTCAACAGAGTAGAATGATTCTAACAGAAAGAAGCATTAAAAAAAAAAAAAAGATGACTTTAATTTGCTGTGAACATCAGTGCAAATGTATATAGGGTACAAAAGAAAGAAAAAGGCCCTTGGCTTTGACGGTGATTTTCCTGGCCTGCAGTGAGCCTGATGACTCCCCAGACCTTCTTGACAGTCCTCGGTCATCCTGCAGCGGGGGTGGGTAGTGTGCTCTGCATTTCTGTTTGGTATGTCACTCACTCACTAAGCTAATAAGAACCCCACCAGGACTTTCTGAACATTTCAGAAATTATCAGATTATTTGGACCTGCCTAGCGTATACTCAGATGCTTGTCTTCTGCTGTGGATTTTCAGCAAGCATTGGACCCAGAATCAACCAGATAGTCCAAGGAGTTGAGAAAGTGGGGGAGACAGAGGAAAATCACTTTTAAATGTTTAGGGAAATCCGAAGTAAATGAGCATACAGATGATTTCTGAGACTCCACCCAGCGCCACCCCCAAAGTTGATTACTGCAGGTGACTGAGCCATCACTCTTAGACAATGGAGTCTTTTTTTCTTTTTTATAGTATTGGGGATTGAACCCAGGGGCGTTGAACCACTGAGCCACATCCTCAGCCCTTTTTCACATTTTATTTAGAGTCAGGGCCTCACTAAGTTGCTGAGGCTGACTTTGAACTTGCGATCCTCCTGCCTCAGCCTCTGGAGCTGCTGGGATTACAGGCGTGCGCCACTGCACCCACCCGGCTGAGCCATCACTCTTAAATTTACAAGTTCCCCTGCCATGTCTGAGCTTTGTCTCATCTTTGTACCATATTTTGAATATAAATACTATCCATCATATGGGCTGTGTCCAGTGCCCTGCCCCACTTCTGGTAAAAGTGGCATCTGAAATGTGGCTTCTATTTGAAAATTCTTAGGGAAAAGAATTATAATTGATGATGTCCAAGAAAGAAATTGCCTTGGCAAACCAAGGCTGTTCATATCTGAAAGACAGACTTCTTGTTCACCAGAGACTTTCCTACTGTTTCATTTGGACAGGGGCTCTGTAGTCTTTAGGTGTTTCACTGATATGAGGTCGGCCTTACCGCTAGACCAATGAGACTGACCTGGGAGGATTTCAGACAGGTGGAGCCTGGTCCCAATGCTTCTCTTCCCCTCACTTTTCCTACCTACCCACCTAAAATCCCACCTTTATAGCATCAGCCCATAGTATAGGCTTTGGTGACAGAGTCGTTGGATGCAGACATCTATCAATAAACAGGGAGGACACAGATTAAAGAAATGGAAGACCGAAAGAAAGATCTCACCAACTCCATTATTTCTAAGGGCCACAGAACAAAAACCATCCCAGTCTGAAAAATCTCAGGGACAAGCTAGTTAGCTCCACATTTTTCAAAATGGCAAACTAAGGCCCAGAGTGGGGAGGTCCATTGCCCAAGGATACTCTGCTGGTCAGGCTGCAGTGAGTCCAAAACCTGGGTTTCCTGACACCCAGACCAAAGGGGGCCTTTTGTAGACAACAGGCACAATTAGCAGCAATTTTTAGGGGGGGCAAATCACTTTGAAATATGAAAACTGAAATGCCCGGAAAAATAGAGAAAATTTTCAAAATGGCTTTCTGACTCTGGGTAAACAGTAACCACATTTTTTTTTGCCTGTTGGAGGCCTGGTTTTTAATCACTCCACAAGCAGTTTTCATTTCTGTAGTAAAATTGCTTGTGGTTCTATTTAATTTGTTTCTGCAGGAGCCAGCTTTGGTGAAGATCTCTGAGGAGCTGGCGGGCATTTTAGCACAGCACGCACAGCCAGTCAATGAGAAACGGTTCCCGACGTGGAGGAAATTCCTCCAAACATTTCTCAGTCAAGGTAAATAAGACTTGAAAGTTTCCATTGAGGAGCAGTCCACACAGCCTTGGGTTCTAGTTTGGAGTCAACCAGGGCCTGTGTAGATACTTTGCATGGCCTGTATTGGTTTAGAAAAGTGCTCCTGCAGCTGACTTTTTCTTTTAAGTGTTGCCTAAATATTTATCTTGCACCCAGCCTCTTCAGTAAATAGGAACTGAGCCTACCAAGCATGGCATGTGTATCTCAAGATTCTGGGTCTTTTTTAACACCAGACCTCTCCTGAGGGGTGGGCTTTGGATCTCATCTGTGGCCTTAAGCAAGGTTCTTAGGCCCTCGGAGGCCCCGGATCCTGGCTTACCTGCTGCACAAGGTTGTTGGGAGGACTCAACGAACTAGAGATATGAAAGTGTCTGCCACAGGTCTCCAATCAGTGCTAGTTTCCCCTTCCTTTCACCCTCCTCCCTCCTCATCCTAACTTTCTAAGGACATAGGAGGCTCAGCTGAGGGAGTAAATGGGACAGATGATACTAATCCCAGTCCCAGAGGTCCCTGGGGGACCACACAGGGCCTGGTCACACAAGGCCTTGTTCTCTTGGAGTTGCAATGTAGGTACGTATGCATTCCCACAAGAACCGCAAGACAGGGTTAGTGGAACAGGCCACAGAGGGGATCTTTCCACTCACTGTCAAGTGACAATGATAAGAACAGTACATTAGCACTAACATATAGGATAAGATGATAATATTATGTTCAATGACAGCGGCAGGAACAGCACATGAGCCATCAGAGCATGGTATGACGACACACTAAGCACTTGTGGTACTTATTACATGCCAGGCACTATCCTACATATGCGTATATTAACTTATTTGATCCTCCTAACATCCATATGAAGTGGATAAACATTGTAAACTCATCTGATAGAGGAGGAACCCAAGGTAAAAAGATTAACTCACCCCAAATCACTCTGCTAACTCGTAGAAGAGTCCTTAAAAGGCTACCTCTGGCAGAGTGAGGTGGCACATGCCTGTAATTCCAGCAGCTCAGGAGGCTAAGGCAGGAGCATCATGAGTTCAAAGCCAGCCTCAGCAAAAGTAAGGTACGAAGCCACTCAGTGAGACACTATCTCTAAATAAAGTACAAAAAAAAAAAAAAAGGCTACCTCCACATCGCTGTGGAGTCTTGGCCACAGCCAGTGGGTACATTTATTAAAGAACATGTCTTAGCTCAGGGTATTAGAGAGCATCAGAATGGGCAGGGCTGTGGATTGTTGGATACACTGGCTGGACAGGGTATGTTGATGCCCTGGGAATGGACTATTTAAGCAACAGAATGGACGCAGCCATCTGATAAGAAAACCGAGGTGCTATGTGACCTCCAATATCCTCTGATCTAAAAGTCTAGGATTCCACAAATTTCCACATGCACCCATGCACAGAAAAGTAAAATTAAAAAACTGATTCCCAGGCCTAAATGGAAGAACATGAGTTTCCTTCCACAGAAATAAAATGTTTTTTAAAAAATCAAGAACAAGGGATTTTTTAAGGAAGGAGGGAAAAACATGAAGATCTTCAGGTCCATCCAAATCAGGGTGTTGGAAAATTTCCAGATCTTCCAAGGCCAGCCTACAAAGCCTTCCTTGAAGCTATTTATGTGAATCCCCAGCCGGTATCTCAGCTGAGCTGCATGGGAATACAGTTGCTAAGCTTCCCGTGCATCTCCTGTTCATCTCTATCCTACCCTTCAGCCACATTGTAAACACAGGGCTTATTGATGGGAGGAAGGACAGACTTCATTAACCCAGTTTTATAGATGAAGAAACTGAGTTTCAGAAAGTCAAGGAATGACTTGGGCAAAGTCACACAACCGAGAAGTGGTGAATGGGAACACAAAGTTAGATCCTACAACTTTAGTACATCTTAGAACCTGGTTCTTGTAAGTAATGTGTTTTTGAAGGCTGTGCCAGGCTTGGAGCCTGGTGCATTCAGCAAGTCCTGTGTGAATGCTCTCTGACGGATAGGGGCATCCCATGCTCCCTGACTCTAAGGTCACCCTCTCCCACTATTTCCTGTTTTATTCTACTTCTTTCCTCTCAAGGGAGCTTGTGGCTACAAAATGTGGCACAGTTTTGATTTCCACATCATGATGGGATTACATCAAAGAAAATAAATTCTTTCTTTCTTTTTTTTTTTTAAAAAAGAGGGATTAATTGCTTTGAAAGGAAAAATTAACAATGAACAGGTTGTGGTCATGATGCTGAGAAGATAATTTCTTTGAAATAAAAAAGATAAAGCTGTCTTGTAAGTAATAAAGGACAATATGTTTCCACAGAGGCACTATCTTGCAAAATATAGCTGATACAAGTTAACTGAATCAGGGACCCACTCAATGTTTTGTTTTTGTAGATTTTGGTGGGTTTTTGGGGGGAGGTACTAGGGATTGAACCCAGGGGCACTCGACCACTGAACCACATCCTCAGCCCTATTTTGTATTTTATTTATAGACAGGGTCTTACAGAGTTGCTTAGGGCCTCACTTTTGCTGAGGCTGGCTTTGAACTCATGATCGCATGCCTCAGCCTCCCAAGATGCTGGGATTACAGGCATGGCCACATCTGGCTGGTGTTGTCTTCTTGCATGTACCTTGCCAAATCCTCAGCAACTGTATTCCCATTCAGCTCACACTAGCAGGCTTCATTTGAAGAAAAGAACATCTGGGACCAACCAAATGGATAAGTTGGGGCTAGAATGTGTACCCTCTGAAACAGTTTTCCTTTGAAACTTGCCATTTTGGGGGGATATCCCTAGCCCAATTTTAGACATGTAAGGAAAGCATCTCTTGTTTGAAGTACAGTGTCTTCATTGATGTGATCAGAATCAAAACTGCCATTCTTCATGCCCTATTTATTATAAGCCAAGCATTGGGCTGAATACCATAGATACAGTTTGTCTAAGACTCCCAACAACCTGGCAAGGTAGGTCTCATTATGCCCATTTTACAGATGAAGAAAAAGAAGTTGAGACGAAGCTACTTGCCTAAAGTCTCTCAAGAGCTGGCTAGGACAGGATCTGAGCCCATGTCCAACTGTCCAAGCCTAGGTCATCTCCTCCTGCAATCCCTGAGAACGTGTCTTTTCATCTGCTCCCATCTTCCCACCAGGGGGCGTGATCGAGGCCTTCCCACCTGCAGATAGCATCACCAACCTGACGGTGGACATGCTGATAGAGCCCAATGGAGAAATTAGGTTGCTGTCAACGGGAGACCAGCTCCATTCCGAAAGCCCCTTCATCTCCTCTGGGACTACCATGCCTCAGACCTCCGTGGATCCCCAAGTTCTCAGTTCTTTGTGTCTCCAAATTGGAGAGGCCTGCAAGACGCGAAATGTGATTGGTCACTTTTCTGTAGATCTGGTGACTTTTATTGATCCAAGCACCTTGGAACAGCAGGTAAGTTGAACTGATGTCACATAAAATACTAAAATTCTTCACCACCCCAGACCTCCATGCAAGGGACAATATGAGGGGGCTCGCTGTGCACTGGTGAGCTGACTATAAATCTGCGTCTGTGCGGTGCATGTCCGCCAGGTGAGATCAGATTTAATGTCTAGAAACAGGGACAAGGTTAATCTCGTTTGGGTACAGCTGGAGTTTAAATGACTGCACTCACCCTGCATAGCTCTGTGATTGGGCCCGCAGATCTGTCCACTAGCATTAAGTCTGTTACCGTAAAACTACTTCATGCCAACCAGGGATTGAACCTATTATATTCTGTTCTTTTCATAATCATTAGAAAGGAGTCAAGAGTCCTTGTTTCCACTTCTTTTCTTATCATTAGTTCACCAGCAACTTGGATTAACGATTTTTTCATTTACAAAATGTATTGGGAGATATTTCAAAAATACAAAAAGGTCTAAATAACTTTATGATCAATATCAGGTGCCCCTTCCTGCTTAAGAAATAAAGTAATGTCCAGGCCTCCTGTGGTCGAGCGCTCTGCTTGATGGACACCAGCCCTCCCTGATCCCCGAGCACTGTAGAAGCTTCAGTCCTCTACTTGGGAGTTTGATTCCTTTCCATATCTTTACTCTTTTGCTGCACATGGATGTACCCAGAAATAATCCAGCTTCATTTTGCATGTTTTTAAACATGTTAGGATCGTGACATCCCTGTGCGATCATTCCACAGCATGCATTTACTTTCCTCAAGATTACGTTTGCAACATTCTTCATGCACACGTGGCTCTGATGTGTAATATTCTGGATAAATACTTTTCCTTTTTTTATTTTGTTTTTGGTTTTGGTATCAAGGATTGGACCCAGGGGCGCTTACCCACTGAGCCACATCCCCAGCCCTTTTTTATATTTTACTTAGAGGCAGGGTCTCACTGAGTTGCTTAGGGCCTCCCTAAGTTGCTGAGGCTGGCTTTGAACTCAGGATCCTCCTGCCTCAGCCTCCCAAGCCGCTGGGATCGCAGGCGTGTGCCACGGCGCCCAGCTGGATAAATACTTTTCAATCTTTTTTCTTTGCTTTGCTTTTTGTTTTTCCTCCAAAATTGCAATGTTTAGACTCACGACCTCTTCACAATTCAGTTCAGTTCCTCCTCTTTTCTTGTTGGGTGTCCCGCCCTCGGTCTGGAGAATGAAATAGCCTTCTAGCCTCCCTCTCTCCGTCTCCTCTGGCCGCCGAGTATTGTAAATATACTTAGTTGTTTTATATTCATTATTCTCAGTGTTATGATTCTCCATTTCAGATGATGGCTTCAAAGCGAGAGTTTATGGTCTTGGCAGTTCTCAGCTTGTTCAATAACCATTTTCCATTTGCCTTCCCAGGCCTTGTGTTGGTTTTACATTCTGCACTCAGGCCCACGTGTTGACAGGGGAAAGGACAGACAAGGGCCCTCAGAAACCCACCTGGGGCGAGGGAGGACACGGACCCCGCTGCCTGGAGAAAGCGCTGGGTGGCAGGAAAGCAGGCGGAGGAGAAGCAGGGAGGCTGCCCTCCCACACGAACAAGGAAGAATGAACTTGGTGGCTCCTAGTGTAGCAGGGAAAATGAGCTATGGCGACTGGTGACTTGTTGATTTGAGTGTGACACAGGGAGACCTGCACACAGCAATGAGAAGGATCTGCTCCACCCTGAGTCCTAGTCCTTCCCTGACCAACCACCCATTGGGACTTCTGGGAGAAAGTTCCCTCCCTTCCCTGGGCTGGCCCTGTGTTCCTGGCCAGCCTGTCCCACCCTAACTCCCCCTGCGTCCCTCTCATTCTCTCCTGTTCATCATAAGCCCTCTTCCACAGGGCCTTGACATGTGCTGTCCTTCTGTCTGAAATGTTCTTGCCTCTTCATGATCTAATTGGCTTGCATTCCCATCCGTGGTATTCCAGCTCAGAGATGCCTTTCCTGACTCCCTGAAAGAGTCAACCCCCTGCTATGGGCTCTCAGACCATCGTGCACCCCTTTCCTATCCTTTATCTCGGTTGCAATTTCAAACTCGTGTATAGGATTATCTGGTTACTATCCATCTCCCTTTGTAGTTGGTAAGCTTTCCTGAGGCAGGTACTACGATATCTCCATTAAATGCTCAGCACTTACCTCTACTGTGGAGCAAAGTAGATGATCAATAAATGTTTGTTGAATGAATGAGTGAACAAAGGAGGTGTGCTAGCAGCTGCGGGATGGGATTGCTGCCGGTCGGTATTGGGTGGATGAATGGGATGGGGAATATTAACCCAAGGTTCTCTGATTTCATCATACCGTGACCTCTCCTTGCCCCTGCCCATTAATACTTGAACATGTGATCATTTGTGTTACTATTATCCATAGAAAATGGGGAGAAGTGCCCAGTGGCCACTACATCACTGGGTGTTTCTACATCAGCAAGGAAAGTATGCTTATTCTCTGTGTATGATAGATTACTTGCAAGTCATAGGCATATTCTCTAGCCATTTTACAAGTGACATCACCCCAGAAAGCACCTTAATTTCTTTTCCAACTGGGTTGCCTTGTGCTGCCTAAGAAGAGAGCGGCCCATTATCAGCCTCTCTGTTGCTTGTTTAACGGATCTTTGAAAAAATGTTACCTTGTTTTACTCAGCTTTTCTTCCATTACTTATTACTGATGATGCATCTCTTTTCATGTTCGTTGGGCTTTTTTTTTTTAAATTTTTTATTGTTGGCTGTTCAAAACATTACATAGTTCTTGATATATCATATTTCACACTTTGATTCAAGTGGGTTATGAGCTCCCATTTTTACCCCATATACAGATTGCAGAATTACATCAGTTACACATCCATTGATTTACATATTGCCATACTAGTGTCTGTTGTGTTCTGCTGCCTTTCCTATCCTCTACTATCCCCCCTCCCCTCCCCTCCCCTCCCCTTTTCTCTCTCTGCCCCCTCTACTGGCATTCATTTTTCCCCCTTGTATTATTTTTCCCTTTCCCCTCACTTCCTCTTGTATGTACTTTTGTATAACTCTGAGGGTCTCCTTCCATTTCCATGCAATTTCCCTTCTCTCTCCCTTTCCCTCCCACCTCTCATCCCTGTTTAATGTTAATCTTCTTCTCATGCTCTTCGACCCTACTCTGTTCTTAGTTACTCTCCTTATATCAAAGAAGACATTTGGCATTTGTTTTTTAGGGATTGGCTAGCTTCACTTAGCATAATCTGCTCTAATGCCATCCATTTCCCTGTAAATTCTATGATTTTGTCATTTTTTAATGCAGAGTAATACTCCATTGTGTATAAATGCCACATTTTTTTAATCCATTCATCTATTGAAGGGCATCTAGGTTGGTTCCACAGTCTTGCTATTGTGAATTGTGCTGCTATGAACATCGATGTAGCAGTGTCCCTGTAGCATGCTCTTTTTAGGTCTTTAGGGAATAGACCGAGAAGGGGAATAGCTGGGTCAAATGGTGGCTCCATTCCCAGCTTTCCAAGAAATCTCCCTACTGCTTTCCAAATTGGCTGCACCAATTTGCAGTCCCACCAGCAATGTACAAGTGTACCCTTTTCCCCACATCCTCGCCAGCACTTGTTGTTGTTTGACTTCATGATGGCTGCCAATCTAACTGGAGTGAGATGGTATCTTAGGGTGGTTTTGATTTGCATTTCTCTGACTGCTAGAGATGGTGAGCATTTTTTCATGTACTTGTTGATTAATTGTATGTCCTCCTCTGAGAAGTGTCTGTTCAGGTCCTTGGCCCATTTGTTGATTGGGTTGTTTGTTCTCTTATTGTCTAATTTTTTGAGTTCTTTGTATACTCTGGATATTAGGGCTCTATCTGAAGTGTGAGGAGTAAAGATTTGTTCCCAGGATGTAGGCTCTCTATTTACCTCTCTTATTGTTTCTTTTGCTGAGAAAAAACTTTTTAGTTTGAGTAAATCCCATTTGTTGATTCTAGTTATTAACTTTTGTGCTATGGGTGTCCTATTGAGGAATTTGGAGCCCGACCCCACAGTATGTAGATCGTAGCCAACTTTTTCTTCTATCAGAAGGCGTGTCTCTGATTTGATATCAAGCTCCTTGATCCATTTTGAATTAACTTTTGTGCATGGCGAGAGAAAGGGATTCAGTTTCATTTTGTTGCATATGGATTTCCAGTTTTCCCAGCACCATTTGTTGAAGATGCTATCCTTCCTCCATTGCATGCTTTTAGCCCCTTTATCAAATATAAGGTAGTTGTAGTTTGGTGGATTGGTTTCTGTGTCCTCTATTCTGTACCATTGGTCCACCTGCCTGTTTTGGTACCAGTACCATGCTGTTTTTGTTACTATTGCTCTGTAGTATAGTTTGAAGTCAGGTATCGCTATACCGCCTGATTCACACTTCCTGCTTAGCATTGTTTTTGCTATTCTGGGTCTTTTATTTTTCCATATGAATTTCATGATTGCTTTCTCTATTTCTACAAGAAATGCCATTGGGATTTTGATTGGCATTGCATTAAACCTATAGAGAACTTTTGGTAATATCGCCATTTTGATGATGTTAGTTCTGCCTATCCATGAACAGGGTATATTTTTCCATCTTCTAATATCTTCTTCTATTTCTCTCTTTAGGGTTCTGTAGTTTTCATTGTATAAGTCTTTCACCTCTTTTGTTAGGTTGATTCCCAAGTATTTTATTTTTTTTGAAGATATTGTGAATGGAGTGGTTGTCCTCATTTCCATTTCAGAGGATTTGTCGCTGATATACAGGAATGCCTTTGATTTATGCGTGTTGATTTTATATCCTGCCACTTTGCTGAATTCATTTATTAGCTCTAATAGTTTCTTTGTAGACCCTTTTGGGTCTGCTAGGTATAGAATCATGTCATCTGCAAATAGTGATAATTTAAGTTCTTCTTTTCCTATTTTGATGCCTTTAATTTCTTTGTCTAATTGCTCTGGCCAGTGTTTCGAGAACTATGTTGAACAGAAGTGGAGAGAGAGGGCATCCCTG